CATTAAATTAGGTAACAACTTGCATTCTATTTGTTTAATTATTTTATCAAATTTAATTACTAGAAGCCATGATATTAATCAATGCTATTTTACAAATTTTATTATATTCATTTTCATCCAGTTCTAACTTAAATAAATAATTGAAAAATATAGATAAAAGCTTAATTCGATTTCTTTTTTCAACATTGCAAATGGAAAATTCTTGTAATATTTAAAATAAAAAGTTGTGTTCATTATATAAAAATAATCATGTAAAATAATGTTTTAGATTAATTATTAGTTTGCAGATTAAAATATTTATTCATTTTAAGTTGGATTAATAGCTTTATATCATTCTACAACCTTGTAACTCTTTAGGAATTTATGCATAATTGTTTTCTTTTATGTGATTAACCTTAAAAAAAAAAAAAAAGGAATGGGAATGAAAAAATATGTTAATAATATAATCGAGAAACCCTAAAAAAAATTATTTGTAAATTAAATTCCTGTTTGAGCCACATTAAAATTTTCATTCTCATTTTTCTATTTATTTTCAACCACACGTTCTTTAATAAAATAATATTTTTCATCACATCAATAAATTTTCATTCTTTTTCAACCACACATTCTCCGTCAATTTATTATTTCAAAATACATTCTTCCAAAATAATGTGACTCAAACACACCCTAAGAGATACGTGAAAGAGAAAGAAAAATATGATAAAGAGAATAAGAATTGAAATTTCGAAAAATTATTAAAAAAATAATAATAATAAAGTTTCACATATTTAAAATAAAGGATGTAATTTGTTGTTCTTAAATTGAATATTTTGGTATGTAGATTTATTTATAGTGGAATGTGTATAGCCTTTTTTTAGTAAAATGTGTCAATCGTTACCATTCAATAAAGAATAGTAGGTAACATGTATATTTCGAAATAAGGTATGTAAATTGCAAATACTTCATCTCTTTTTTTGTCTATTTATAAATAAATCATTATAATTCTTTCCATATAAAGGCTACTATTATGACACTCGATTGCGATATAACAAGTTAATCGGTTGGCTACCAAACCATGGATAACTTATTTCTTTCATGTTAAAAGATAAATTTCAAATCTTACTTCTCTTAACAAATTTCACCTTTTAAGATAAAACAACAACTCTTAATATGATATCAGATTTAATTAAACTCCAAAAGGTAATTCAATTCGAATAATACTTAAAAAGGAACATATAGATTTCAAAAATTTACAATAAATTTGAATTTCGAAAAAATGCTAATTTAAAAAAAAAAATTCAACAATCGTACGCTAATCGAATCTACGAATTGTTTATGTCATCTCAAAACTTATTTCGAGAACTACATTATGGACATATCGAATAGTCCAAATAGATATCGAAAATAGTTAAAAATACGTTAAACGTGAATCTTTAAAAAAGACGTCTAACTCGCTTTTTTTAAAAAAAATTCAATTATTTCATTAACATTTATTATTTTTGCGATACAGATTTCTCAATGTAATTTTCATCATTTTATTAGGAAATTTTATATGGAATATGATATAAAAAAATTTCAAAATTTTACATTCGAAAAAGTCATATTTCATGTAAATTTTCAGATGTAAAATTACATGAGATATGATTTTTTTGGACGTAAATTTTCGATTGTCAAATTTCTAACTTCTTTGCAAGTTCGATTATGCCCCCCCTAATTTTTAAGTTCTGCGTCCGCCCCTATATAGATCGATATGTAATGATTTGAATTATTCATCTTAACGAGATCGACATTTTAGAAATGAAACTTCGA